CAGGTGCAGCGTATAAAATGCTAGGAAAGGGGACTTGCATAAAATTGAGATGATAGTTAAGCACGACTTGCTTTGCCTTTGCCCACTCAAGACTAGCAAAAACGAATAAAAACTACGAGGATATTCGTGGCGCTCTAGCTGCAGAGTCATTTATGGTATTGAAGGGCATTCAATGAATTCAATGTGCGGCATCAACAGCCATTCATTTGGATGTGTACAAAGATTTGCCGGGATTCGTCGGCGTTTCGCGTCTGTCAGAGCGCGTCCAATTAAATGCGCAACGCTACGCCACTGGAACGACAGTTGCCCGTTGGCTTCTCGGCTGTCTCTACATTCATCTGCGTCTGTCCGAACGCCAATTGACCGCCGCTTCAGTTTAGCCTAATTATCTGGTGCCTGCGGCTTTTTTGTGCACTTCTTCCCCATCTTGTGATGCGTTGTGGTGTGTTGCCTTACTAAGAACTCGTTCTTTGCCGCAAAAACTTCAACAACATGACCGCAAGCACCCATTTGTGTCTGAAGTGTTGGTCACTTAAGCTGCAATTTAAGCTGCGATCTTGCAAACATGTTAGCGAGGTGATTTCAGCCTGCCGGATAATGCACAATGTACATACATATTTCTCTTTTCTTTGTTTGTCGCTTTCAATGAAATTTTTTTTTAAATGATAGGGCTCTCTTCAAACTATAATATTTGGTAATATTCGGCATATGTATGTATAAATAGAATATGTGTATTGGTAAGCGTCTCCGTGTTCTAAGTTTAGGCTTTTTAAGACGCTCCGAAATTGTTTGCCACACATTCATTGTTAATTCTTAGATAGATAAATGTATGACTTTTGTTGCACATCTCAGAGGGCGGCTAAGCTTACCTTCGACGTGAAATTCTGACGAATTGTTCGGCGACTTTGGCTTCCAACTATGTATGGATGCCAGCGTCGATGGGAATGCCGTTGCACACTGGTCTGAAGAGCTAAAAACAGCTGGCGATAAATAAAAAACTCGACTTTTTTTAATTTCAAATACGGCATTTACCTTGGGGCGTATTCAAGTAATGAACACCGAAAATGCGTTATCATTTCGAATCTATTCTATACACCACCCGAAAGTCAGCTGTTTGCACTGTCTCGTGTGATTACCGAAAAAGTGAAAATTTAACGTACATATGTATGTATGTACATGTATGTACATGTATGTACATCGATGTACGGCGATGCTGGGAAAAACATACTCTACCTGGGAGAATGTATCATCAAGCAAAACGAAAATTTTCGAAAATAAGATGTCACTATTTCTTGTATAACGGCAACTGTGTACATCTGACTGGCAACAGTTTAACTTCAATATAATTTAAATAATACAATTTCTTAAAATTCGCTTTACTAATATTCACATTCGGCAATCAAGTAAAATTGCCGNTACAATTTCTTAAAATTCGCTTTACTAATATTCACATTCGGCAATCAAGTAAAATTGCCGATAAACCACGAAGAGTTGGGTTTCAACACAAATATGAGCTTCTTACGTTTGAAGTGGTCCAGATAACAAGCTACTAGTATGCAACGCGGTCCTTTTGAACATACATTAAAACTATGTCCAGCTAGAACACCTGGTCCTCAAATTTTCGGAGGGTATTTACATACAAATATAAATATATATGAGGGATGCACATGTGTGTATGTGCTGAAATTTTGATTACTTGCCTCAGAAAGTGCAACAAAGCCACATAACCATGACATTTTGCCAAGCTAGCTCAAAGTAGCAATTATTGAAAGGAGCTATTCTTCGTTTGATCGCATGCATGAGGTGTTTCTAAGCAAAGTCCATTTTTCCTATTTGTTTCTCAGGCTACCAAACATTGGAAGAAGTCACACGAAAGTTAATAGCCTTTTTAGAATCTGCAATCGAAAGAGAAAGAAATTAAAAAAAAATTGGTTTCATCATCCAAAAATCAAATATTATTTCACACTCATACAAAATATGATTTCAAGCAAACAACAACANGTAAGGAACTCGTTCTCTTTAAATAAATATTATTTCACACTCATACAAAATATGATTTCAAGCAAACAACAACAATACTATATCACAATGACGCGGAAAATGCGACAAAGATGGAGAGACATTCCAATTAAATCAAATAGAGAACTACGTATTCTTCTACGCATCTACAATATGCACAACTTTCATTTGCAATTCATGTTCATATGTAAACAAATGCACATAACATGCATGAATGTGCTTACAAGTGCAGTTGCCTCTGGAAGTAGAATGATTCAGCTGCTGATGTTGCTGCTGCTGCCTTTATGGCTTCATGACACAAAATAGAAAGAATCGAAAAACCGTGAAAAGTCCTCACAAAAACGTGGAACAATAACAAGAACAACAGGAATGACAGGAGCATCAGCAGAAGTCACACGAGTGTTAGTCATCACCGCTGAATATAAAGTTTTTCCAACCATTAATGGATGGCGACGACCTCCATCAAATGTCATCTACAATACTACATAAATATGAATGTGCATTAGGGTGGTCCAAAAAAAGTTTAAAATGTTAAGCTCTCACCCCTAGGACTTTTCTAAATGGGAAAATAGGATACCCGTATTTTTTTTTGTCTGAAAAGAATTGTATTTAGAACTGACTCAAAGCCCATGAAGTTTTCCGTGTATTTTATATCGGGGGAAAAAACCCTCCTTTTCATAGAAATGGTACAGAATTCTTAAAAATCGATAAACTAAAACATATTGGTATTTTTTTCCATTTAAAAAAATCCCATGCGGTGAGTGCTTAACATTTTAAACTTTATTCCTGCATATATTTATGGACCACTCTAATGTACGTTCATATGTATGTATGTGAATGCAGGCATGCAAGTATACTAGGACATTCTATGCTTATTAGGATGTCTCAGAACATCAGAGGATTTTTTCGATAAGTATACCTAGTACTAGTAATTACCACACAGTGCGATCCCGTCATCGGGGTAGACTGGAGACGAGGCTTCTGCAGCTGCATTTATAAATTTATGAATTGTAAAGTTTTATTATACAAATTTTAAGTTGTAGGCTTAAAACGTCGTTATAATAAATAGATAAATAAATATGTATGTACACAAGAGAAATTTGGAAGGCTATATGGGTGGCCCTTCAGTTTCCACGTATACCGCTAAGTAGTCTTGAGTTCGGGGACGATGTTGAAGACCTTGACACTCCGGAAGTCAAAGTTCACCTTGTCGTCGCCCCTCGCTTAAATTTCTATGCGACTGGCTCGCCGCGACGGTGTGACTGGTAGCCAAGCTCTCACACAGAATCGTGGTGGAATATCACGGCCTTCAACCACTTTCAGATGAGCTCCTGGGTTGACTTGGACTGTGTTATCGATCGTAGCCTTGTAGAGCTCTAAAAAACTATTATAGCCAGTGGAAACTAGCTTTACGCACCCTGCAACCAGCCACCGTCTGTACATGATGCATATGGATCGCACTTTCTTCATTACTTTCACCTTTCACGCTTATTTTCTTTCGATCGTTTGCTTTTAAAGCAAAATATTCAGGCTACTTGAGCTTTGGTACTTTTTGATGCCATTACTGGCGCTTACCAATCTGCACCGCTGCCCGACTTGTTTGAGAAACGCTTTTCGTTTTCTATCTACATATAACACTGTAGGGAAAATCTTAAGTTTCGAAAGAACAAAAAAAACAAACGTCAAAACACGTCAACTTGATTTTGAGTCTTAGATTACGAATCGGTATCCCGTTTTTATAGATCAGGTCAATCTCCCAAGATATTTTTATAAATTTTAGTAGAGGAATTTTTTCGATTATATGAAAGCCTGTTCCTTTACAAAAAAATCACGCTACTAACGAGGAAAATCGATGGAGAGATAAATAAAAAAGTTGTGAATGGTCAAATGAAAATGCATAATAATTGTTTTTGTATGAAACATGAGCAGGAAAGAATGTTACTAATACGACGTGTAGGAGAATGTTATTTTTAAATTTTTTCTCCGTTGTAAGTTAGAATTTTTTTCATTCATAATGCGAAGTTAAAATGAAAATATACAGATCCGTTATCTACGACCCAAAATTAAGTTTACGCGTATCGGCATTTTTTATACGTCATTTTCCGCTCCTACAGTGGAAATGGTGCTATGGTTAGCGAAGGGAGAAGGTCGTCCGCCTGGCCAGAGATGTCCTCTGTTACAGAGCTACGCAGACTAGCTCCGCAGGTCGTCTAATATCCGAAGAACTCCGTTTCCGATTAAATAAGTAAATTAAAGCTATCTAAAAACCATTAAACTTTTAACTTAACGGCAAATTGTATTGCCGAATATAGCGGTCGGTAAAAAATGTGAAAAGGCGACCCCTAGGCTCGTGTTTGCGCTATGGTGTTGCAGTCTAATGTACATGCTACATACATACACACACATAAATATTGCCATATTTCATACATTTGTAAGCTTCACTGTTGCTGCCTTGTCTGCCGGTGCACTTCCTTTCCGCTTTCCTCTCCACCCCCCGCACATGCCCGGCTGTCTGTCTGCCATCGCCATTTGTCTGACTGCAGACGGAGGACAGCGTCCTTGTTGTTATTATTATTGTTGTTTTTGTCGTTGTTCTGCAATTTTCCCGCAACCAGAATTGGTTTTTTCTTGTGTCTTGTTGTTGAGGACTTTTGTATATTTTTTCTTTTATTTTTGTTTCTTTTGTTAAAAATTCCTTGCCCTGCTGTTGCGGCAGAAAGGTTGATTATTTGTTCCATATTGTTGACTGGCTGCAAAATACAAGTGCTTGCGCGTTGTTGAGCTTTAAATGAGTTTTAAAACTGACTCATTAAAGGATATCTAATTTTTTTTTAATACTGCATCCAAGCAGTATTTTTTCCACAAACTTGCAGACATTCTACTACGAATGGTACAAGTTGCCATTCGTTAATCAGAATTTAAAAAAAGAGAGATTTTAAAGTACGCTGTTTAAACTCAGATATATTTTTTTCTCTTTTCAGCTTTGGCCAAAGCAGAATCATCGCGTTTCATCACCACGCCGCAAAGCCAAACCGTCGTCGAAGGCGATGCCGTTGTGTTTACCTGCCGCGCGACTTCACTCGATGGACTCCGCTACACTTGGTTGCACAATAGTAAGTGCAATTAAAAAATAAATTTTTGTTAGCTTAAAATTTATGTTTTTTTTTTGTTTGTTTGTGCCATCAGATGCTCCGGTAGAAAATTCTACACGTGTGCGGCAATTGGAATCGAATTTACGCATCGAGGCAGTGCAACGCGATACGGATGCTGGGGACTACGTTTGCATAGCGACAAGTATGACTAGCGGAGCCCGTCAAGCATCGCCTCCGGCGCGGCTGAATATAATTTGTAAGTAAAATTTAATAATTTCCAGATTGATACAGCTACTCAGATATGTATAAAGGGTGCATTCAGAAGCGCATCATCTTATCTTATTTCTAAGCTATAATTGATGAAAATATTCAAAATGCGCTACCACGATTAAATATCGAATTGGAACTTTAACCCTATTCCTACCTTGTAGCCGAGTGGTTGTAGGTTCGATCACTGGATCGAGCAACATCTAATGGCGTTTTCTTTTCTCGGAAAAAAGTTCACCTTCTTATATGGCAAGATTATCAGAGTGCCACATTTTAAAGAGAGAACACGCAATAGGCATGTGAAGATGCTGAGAAAAGAACACAAAAACTTGACAGCCTTGGCGCAGGGCAGAATAAATGCAGCATTATTTCGAAAAAAAACGCTATAAAATTAGAAAAAGTTTTTTTTCTTTCTAACAGCGAATGTATTTCTGCGTTGAAAGTACTAAAACTATTTTCCATTCGGAGGTGGTGTAAAATTCAGGACACACCATCCCCCGTGTGTCGCTTAAACTATTTTAAAAAAGTATCTTTCCCCTCAACCAACTTGAACTTTAGGCCACTAATTAACTCGTCAGCATCAACTTCTTTTGATATCAAGCCGCCAGCTATGCATCAGCCGAATTTCATATGTACATATGTATATTAGACTGCATCACCAAAAAAAGTTGCGGTTTTCCCGCCGGGGCTACAAAATGTATTATATTTTAAGACGAGCGCCAAAATATTTCGGAAAAATATTAAGATTTAAGCAAGCTGGACCGATTTGAAAATACCTTCAAAAATGGAGTTTTTTTATGAATAAAAATAGTTTCTTAAAGAACTTTTTAAAAAAGTCCCCTCAGATGACAAAACAGATTAGGCTTAAAAAATCTGCATACAAATATTTAAAAATCTTTTCAACGGAATCGTAATAATGAGATTTTTGATGCTGTTTTTTTTTACTTTTTTCAAAGATTGATTTACGAAAAACTTAAATAACTGGGCCAAACCTATTCTGATTTAGACTTATGGAACTTTCCAATGATACCTCACAAGTTTAAATCGGAAGAGTTTAGGCCAGTTATTCAAGTTTTTCTTATACCAATCTTTGACACAAATTGTTTTTTATTTTCCTTTTAATATTTTTATGTAAATTTTTTAAGCTTAAATCGTTTTGTCATTTGAGGGGATATTTTCAAAAAACATCTTTAAGAAACTATTATTATTCATAAAAAACTCCATTTTTGGAGGTATTTTCAAATCGGTCCAGCTCGCTTAAATCTTAATATTTTTCCGAAATATTTTGGCGGACGTCTTAAAATATAATAGATTTTATAATTCCAATGGAAAAACAGTACCGATTTTTTTTTTTTGAATGGGGAGTGATGCGGTCTTAATATATATACATAGATACATATGGGCATCAGTCTACAAGTAAACAAAACTTTTCGTAACACAGAATAAAAAACAACCAGCATAGGCAACTGATAGCATACATATGTACATATGTTGCACAGATTTCCGATTAATGCACATTTGATTTCCGTTTTGTTTACTATTTTGTAGGCGCATCAGCATCAGCGCCAAGTTTCAGCCTCCATCAGCTTAATTGACTGCAACAGTTTTCGAGTTTTTGTTTGTGACTTCATTTTCTCCACAGCGCTGGTGGATGGCTGTTGTCGCTACATTAAATTTCATAAGTTAAAGAAATTTGGGTTTGTGCAGGCGATGCGTGGAAAGGAAAGAACTGCACATGTACGTATGTATATGCATACATACATATGTATGTATACATAAACCGCATTCCAGCTGCCCCTCTCTTCCCATTTGCTGCAACAATCACTTGCCACTCGACACTTTATTTGTGTTTTGGTACATTATNGATTTCATAAGTCAAAGAAATTTGGGTTTGTGCAGGCGATGCGTGGAAAGGAAAGAACTGCACATGTACGTATATGCATACATACATATGTATGTATACATTAACCGCATTCCAGCTGCCCCTCTCTTCCCATTTGCTGCAACAATCACTTGCCACTCGACACTTTATTTGTGTTTTGGTACATTATGCATCGTTTGCTTCGTTCACAATTTGTGGCTTTCATCTTTCAACAAATCATTTGCTTCTCGAGCTATTTCAGCGTATGTATGTACTTTTCTTGTACAGATCTCACCTTTCTCTGATCGCTTCCTTTGCTTTGGTGCTATTCTAATTTTCTTTTGAAGTTTTCTTGAAGTTAAATATGTAAAGTATGGCCACTGTGGGATGCATTTCCCATTATCCAGTTCTTCATGACAAGGAAATGGGGGGTTTATTTATATTCAATACCCTCTATCTAGTTTCTGGTGCTCTGAAAACGTTAAATTTTCAAAAAAGTTAAAAGATAATATTTGGCACTACAACCGTTTGTAGGTTTGATCCGAGATCAAAGAGTCCTTTTATTTCGATCGTGGGCGGCCTTGCTTGCGTTGTCCACCATGGGTGCCGAGTAGAGGCATCGTCTCACCGTTGTCCATGCGCACCTGTCGCTTAAAAGCTCGTACAGTTCGCCATTCCATCTTTGTATAGAATAGTTCTCTCAAAAGTACTCAAAGTCTTCTCATCTTCTGTTCGATATCGTCGACGTTTCTGTGCCATATAGAAGAGCGGGCATGGCGAGAGACTTGTAGAATGTGGTTGTTGTTCGTCAAGAGAGTCCTTTGCTTTTCAACTGCCTACCGAGCCCAAAGTAGTCCCTGTTGGCGAGAATCGCAATGTAGAGACACAGAGATGACGCATTCAGCAGTACCACTACTTTGTTAATAATAATAATAATCCCAACGGTTTTTACCCTCCATTCCCGCCCATCCGCACGCGGGGCGCAGTCCGCATGACGTACGGAACCAATATTTTAAATTTTTGTGCCGAGTCACGATAGGCAGGAGTTTGTTAAGTGTCGAGATCTAAAACTGTTCAGCTACAGAACTAAATTCATCAGCTGATTTTATGTATTTATGTCAATAATTCACTTATTGAGAGAGGAGAGTATCGCTTTCTTAATGCTGAAAAGCGGATCTGATATATCAAACGTGCTGGAATGAGAGTTAAAATCCTGGCATAAGCAACGGAGTGGGTCGTGCAATTCAAAATTGGTTTTACAAGCTTTCAGAAATATGGGACAAAAGTGTCTTGATACGCGTGACGGAACATTAAAGCTTACATCAGCCAGAAGAGACGGACTTGAAATTGAGCCTGTCAGTAATTTAACCATAAAAATTATACCAAGCATTTCCCTGCGACTGGCAAGTGTAGGAAGGTTAATAAGTTTTAAGCGACTCGTATAAGGTGGAAGACTATATTGAGAATCCCATCGGAAATTTCTTAAAGCAAAAAGTAGGAATTGTTTTTGAATTGATTCTATCTTGTCTGAGTAAATTTGATACCTTGGATTCCAAACCACCGAGCCGTATTCCAGAATCGGCCTAACTAATGTTGTAAACAGGGTTTTAGTGATATAAGGGTCACTAAATTCTTTTGACCATCGTTTCACAAATGCAAGTACACCTTTAGCCTTGTTGACTGTCACATTAATGTGAAGATTAAAATTAAGCTTAGGATCCATTGTGATACCAAGGTCCACAAAATTGTATACCTGTTCCAGGTTATGGTTACCTATTATATAAGAAACTGGCAGAACAGCTCTTCGCGAGAAGCACATTACTTTACATTTCTTAAGATTTAGAGGCATAAGATTTACTTTACACCAGTAAGCCATGCTGTTTAAGTCTGATTGTAGCAAAGACCTTTCTTTAATTGAAACGTACGATTTATAAAGTTTTACATCATCTGCATACATTAAAATTTTGGAGAATTTTATATCTGTAGAAATATCGTTTATAAAAAGCAAGAACAGAATCGGGCCTAGGTGGCTACCCTGAGGGACTCCTGAAGTAACATCAATGACGTCAGAGATAGTATTTTTAAACAATACCCTTTGTGATCTATCATAGAGGTATGAAGAGATCCAACGTAGAAAATTAGGTGGAAGACCAAGAAGATCAAGTTTATAGATGAGCAACGAGTGGCACACTTTGTCAAATGCTTTACTGAAATCAGTATATATAACATCAACAGTTTTGCTCTCACTAAATGCTTTTGAGATATAGGATGTTAATTCAAGTAAATTTGTAGAAGTTGATTTGCCCTTGCAAAATCCATGTTGACTGTATGAAATGCTTGAAGTGATAGAATGCGTCAACCGATTTGTTATAATTGCTTCAAATAATTTAGGAATTGCAGAAAGCTTAGCTATGCCCCGGTAGTTCTCCACTGAAGACCTGCTACCGCTTTTATGTAAGGGGGTTATGAACGATTCCTTCCATACAGTTGGAAAAACGCCCTCTTTAAGAGACAAATTAAATAAGGCTGTTAACGGCTCATAGAGATAATCAGCACAATTTCTAAGAAAACAAGTGGGGATCTGGTCAGGACCATAACTAAAAGACTGCTTTAAGGACTTCAGGTAAACTAAAACATCATCGGGAGATATTATAGGGTTATGTATTGAGTTAATTGGACTTAGTTTAAAAGGATAGTCAAAGTATGCTTGGGAGTTAGTGGAATAATTGGATTTAAAAAACTGAGCGAACATGTTAGAAATTGTTTGATTATCACCAGAGACGGTATTTTGATACTTCATGGCGGAAGGAAACCCACGTACATTTCGCTTGGAGTTTACAAAATCATAAAATGATTTGGGGTTATATTTTATACGTCGTTTTATTTTACACAAGTAATCTTTATAACACTTTTTGTTTAATTCAAAGAACTTGTGACGCAAAAGTGAGTATTTTACATAGTATGAGTGTAAGCCGTTTTTTTGTGTAATCTAAAATAACGTGACTTTCTGTTTTTCATGTTTCTCAGTTCTTTAGTGAACCTTAACTGTGTTTGTTCTTCAGGAACACACATGCGTTTAGGCACATACTTTTCAAATAATCTATGTTCTTGGCGAATTTGACAAAATCAGCTGTTCGTCAAAGAGAACATAGTCATTTTAACTTTTTCTTGTTCATTTCCTGGAAGGTTTTGGGTGGTCCTACCTTTCTCTGTCAGTTCGTCAGCTTTTCAATTATCATCAATTTTCCGCTTTACCCGGCAACCATATACATATATGAGCAGAATTCTACGTAAATATGCATGTTCTCGTTCAAAAAGCTACAGCATTCAGCGGGGGACTTCACTGCGTTGAGTTTTTGATATATTTTCTTGTCACTTGTTTACATACAGCGGTCGAATTTTAGGTTAATGGAGCGCTGATTGCCTGAAATGTTGTGTAAGTCGAAAGCTTTCCTTCCAGCGTTGAGTTTTTGATATATTTTCTTGTCACTTGTTTACATACAGCGGTCGAAAAAATTATAGCCGCACCATATTTTGATAAATTTTAACATAGTATTTTTTTTTGTTATTAAATTTTGGTTATTTTTTATAAACATATCGTTCTTCTTTAACAGAACTCCAAAAAAAATTAAATTTCAAACTCTGTTAAATATTTAAAAAATTCAACAAACTTTCGCAAAAATTTTAGGTTAATGGAGCGCTGATTGCCTGAAATGTTTGGTATCTTCGGATTTACATATGTACAGACATATCGAGCCCTAACTGCCAAAATAACGTAAGAGACATTTTTATTTTTGATGCAGAAAGGCATCTAGATGCTCTAGGAATATTTCTGAATCAAAAAGAAAATTTTGAAAAAATGGCGCTTATGTTATTTTGGCGGTTAGGGATCGATATGTATAAACATACATACAGTTCTGCACATAAAATAAGTGTAGTAATTTTTTGTTGAATTTAGTAACTTTTAATCACTGGATTTTGGTAAAAAATAAAAAAAAATTGTGGCAACATTGGTTGCTGCCATGACACTGTTATATATATGTACATACATACATACCTACACATTTATATGCTGCTCGTAAAATTTTATGCATTTTTCCGCCGTTGAAAATGAAAATGAAATGGAAGTTGTTGAGCGCAATTTTCCACAAATGTTTGTTTCTCGCGTCAAGTGAAGCCGTGTCGGGGGTGCAAACGTTATAGATGACTGTAATGTTGGGGAGTACGTTATATGTATGTATACATACAGTATTGGACATATCTATAGCACCCCCTTTAAAAGTGATATTGTTTGCCCCTTATGTGTAATTATTTATTTTTAAGAAATTTTAACTAAAGTACAGTTCATTCTCTAACAAAACACATATAAACCCCAGGTTAAACCTCTTTAAAAGACTACAAACTAATGCAACAATTTTTCACCCAAATTTCAAACTTTTTTTCTCAGAAGTGCTAGAATTTTTCTGAGTACACAGTTTTATAGCCCATTCAATTTTAGTCTAATAATGTGCCAGCTTCAAGTGGCTAAAAACTACCGTTGACTTTTTAGAATTTTTTTTTTGTGTAATTTGCTTTCATATAACGAATAAACAAAATTTATTTTTATATGGAAGAAACCCGCAACCGCTTCGGCGAAATAAATTCTAAAAAAGCAAAGGTAATTTCTAGCGACTAGAAACTTGCACTTTCTTATGCTACAATTGAATGGGATACAAAACTGCATACCCGAAAATTTTCAAAATATGCTAATTAAAAATTCTGAAATTTTGATCACAATTTTTTGAAGCTTAATAAATTGTTTTGCAAATTCTCTGTTCTGTTATAGATTGAATTATATTTTTGAATTATATTATAAATCTAGAATTAAAAGTCGTCA